CCATACCTTGATCCTAATTATTGAAGAATATAATAAAAGATATAGTTTTTTCCAGAAAAAAACCGGACAGTATCAGTCATACTAATTATTACTTACTAGTCATATCAGTCTACTTGATTATAACTACATTAATTTGTTAGATGCAGTGTTGTGTATTTTATTAGCTGGCATTAAATCACAATGGGTGATTTTCTGTTGTTTGATCATATAGGCCAGTGGAGAAGGAATTCCAAGTTAAAAGGGGCAATTTAGATTATTGATATAGCGACGTCTCTTGTCGCATTGTTTTGCTTAAAGCTCTCTCAGACTTTTACTGCAAATCACGAAATAATTGGCCGTGTTTTTTTACAATGCTCAGCCGAGAAAGACAAATGTACGGTACTCTTGACGGAAGACCCCCTCGGCCGGGACGTTATGTCTCGAGCATGTGGCCAGGAAGCGTGTCGAGGCTGTCACCCTGGGATAACTGTACTCGGCTTCGTTCTCAGATCTATTTTCGAATACTTTCGGTTTTCTGCTGCGGCCACCTCACGCTCGCCGGTCGACCTAACAGCCGCGGCGTCGGCGGTTCCAGCACATATCCGGATCCGCGGTATAACGTTCCGGTAAAACAAAACTGTTATATTTGTATATGCCCCCCGGTACGGGAAAAGCGTAACTGTCGTTTTCCACCATTTTTATTTGCATGAGCGAAGATGAACCTATCAATTCAAACAATCGAATTGAGAACAACATAACAGTACAAAAGACAATTATAGTACAAGAATTAAAAATGTGGTAGCGGATATGGTATGAAGCATATGGAAAAGGTATCCCAATATAGCTAACACTTAGTTTGTTTACAAGGAGTAAAAATAGTGGCCACCCTTATTATTTTTAATTATCTTTCAGACATTAAGATATCTTAATTATCTCCATTAATTATCTTACAACAATATTTGGTTTGTTTTAAAGTATTGGAGGTACACAAAACACAGATAAAATCTCCCAATTCTGTTTACAATTGGATTTTGTAAAGAAATCTTTGAATAGTCAATCTCTTCTTTATTGATTTTCCTGTAAAGTTTCTTTTCGATTTTTCGGTTGTTTGATTTTTTTAAGTTGTTCCGTTTTTAAGTTTCAAATTTGTTTGAGTTTTAAGTTCTACTAATTCGGCTAGAATTTGTTGGCAGATGGAAGAAGTCAAGTATATAGCCTGGGTGCTTAACATCCCACAGCAATTGTCCGAAGGGTCTTTCATCGCTACCAAAATCTGGAGGTTACTCAACAAGCCATGGATCAGGTCGCTATTGTGTCCCATGTCAGAAAGACGATCGTTTTATAGCTTCGAATGTACTACTTAATCTACATTCTCTTACGTAAGCTCTGTTAAGTTCAAGCATTGACTTCAAAAAGTTAGAAATGTTGTCAGTTTACGCATTGAATTGCGAAGACTTTCAGAACATAGATTACATGCGAGATGGCCTGCCACTGGTCAAGATCTTCTGGCATGGCACGCAGAAATCAAATCAATCAATAAGATTGGAATGAAATTTTCGGATGAGATCTTCTGACGGCCGATCGAGCATGGAAAAGAACAGTAGAGCGATATATCCCCGAAACTTTTTCAATCCGGAGAAGTATGTAGCTGGTGGTGTTATGGATTGGGAAGGCATTTCTATGGAAGGTCGTACAGACTTGATCTACATCGATGATTCCCTAATAGTTGCCCGTTAAATCGAAGATGGGTTAACAGAAGAAGTTGTTCCTCAAATGCCACTAATTGGTGACGATTTTATTTTCATGCATGACGGTCCAAGTACGGCTAGGATCGTTGATGACTAGATGGAATGGGTTTCAATTCAATGTTTGGATTGGCCAGGGCGTAGTTCCGACTTAAACCCTATCGAACACCATTGGAATGAGTAATCAAAGAAAGTAAAAAGTCGTCCAGTGGTGCCAGAGAATTTGCAGGAATTAAGGAGTATGAAATTATTCTTCAGCACTACATTCAAAACCTCATAAATCGATTCCACGTCGAATTCCAGCAAGAGGTGGAAATACTTCGTACCGAATTGATTAATTTCTTCATTGTTTCCATAACAATATTTTTGGTAAAATCGTTTTACTTAGTTTGTTTATTTAGCTATATAAAATATCCAATAAACGAAAAAAATAAAAAATTTAACGATTACATGCATATACTTAGGGTGGCCAGTTTTACCTCTCAGTGTATGTTTATCCTAATTTTATGTCCTTCGCTAGGTATACTTTCGATTTTTCGATTCAACGCTGGTTTCAAGACTAAATTCTTAACATGTAAAGATTTATTTTTCAAAGGCTTTAAAGATCAATATATTTTCGATTATTTCCAAGTTGTAAAGAAAATCGCACGGACCTTGAAATTCCTAAGGTAAAGGAAAATTATGCTGAACATTGGGGCACTTGTTGGGTCTGTCTTGCTGGTTTGTTCAATAAATCAAAAGCGCTTCGGCATCATCAGTGCGCAACTAGCTCAGTTTTCGTTGTAAAGGGCAATTATAACAATGTTAGACTTAATACCTTTCAATTAATTAAGGCTTTTAGTCGAGATAAAAAATTCAGTGTCATGAGCGGGATTCGAACCCACGATCTTCGGCTAGATACGCCGCTGCTCAACCACTTGAGCTATCGTGACCTCGATCCCGCTCGAGGCACTGCTTTTTTTTATCTCAACTAAAAACCTTAATTAATTGAAAGATATTAGTTGGTCAAGCGGACCACAAAAACTAGTGAATTTAATAAGTTAAAATGAGCTTCACTGAAGCTCTCCGTGGCCATTTCATTTGTCGACGAGAATCAAATAGATTACACGACATTTGAAAAATGGCAAAAAGGAGGGAAAATCCTAGAAGATGGAATTAAGATGGGAAGTTAGTGTCCGAGTGGATCGAGGTCACGATAGCTCAAGTGGTAGAGCAGCGGCGAATCTAGCCGAAGGTCGTGGGTTCGAATCCCGCTCGTGACACTGACTTTTTTATCTCAGCTAAAAACCTTAATTAATTGAAAGATATTAATTGGTCAAGCGGACCAGGAAAACTAGTGAAGTTAGACTTCATTTATATTTATACCCATACATATACAAATAAATATATACATACACTATATCTAATGTAGTCCTATATAATAAAATCGTCGATGTTTAATTAATGGACAGCCTACCGTGAACTTTCTGCCGTAAACATTTTGGGTAACTAAACTTATTAAAGCTTGTTTTGGGCCATTTGACATTAACACACGGATTCAATAAAAGTTCAAGACCACTGCAAAAAACCAATAAACAAAAAACGACTTAGGGCCGTAAAAAGCACCGTTTAAGGATTGTGTTACTACTTTGAATATGCAATGGAGAATCCATGGAGAAGCCGAGTGGTTAGCATGAGAGACTCTCACGCCGCGGTCGTGGGTTCGATTCCCACCGTCGCCTCTGGCCCTTTTTTCCCCAATAACCCCCAATTGGAACACACAAGAATTCGTACTATGGCTAATATGCAAGATCATAAGACCAATAAAAAAAATAACAATAACCTACATCACACCAGACCGCATCTCACGATTTCTAAATTTTAAAAAAAATCAATATTAGGGTGAATGTCTGTTTACCGACAGTTCAACCAACTCAATCCTGTTGCTGTTGTCTGAGATTAAAAAATATAGGATTTGCAAACTAGAGATAATAGAAAATTATTTACCGATGTGAACAAATCTGTAAGTCACTGTATCTATATAATTATTTAATTAATATAATATGCTTCAATAGGTCCGTAATAGATGCAGTAATAGGTCGGGGATGGTTTTCCCACCTCAATCTTGCAAACTTATTAGTCATAATCCTCAAAACGTTAAAAATAAAATAAATGTAAAAATGGAACCACCAAGGGGAGACCCGTTAGGTTGGAAAATTAGACTCAAGGCAAATAGTTTCATTCCTTTACCCTCCTCGATCCTCACATTCACAAGGCCCGAGGAAAGCGATAAGCTCAAACATAGAAATGATGAATGGTGGAGTGACTGCGGTGTTCAATCCTTTTTTTTAAGATAGTTCCTACTCACAGTAAGTTTTTTACAACGATCTGGATTTCGAGCTTTTAGCTCATCATCAGTTGGAGTTCTATAACTCCTTCAACATCATGATGAGCTAAAAGGTCTAAATCCGGATCGTTGAAAAACAACTTATCGTGAGTAGGAACTATCTTTTTAAAAAAGAGAAGCTCAAACATTTCCCACTGTTCTGTTTTTCACCCCCAGCTGAAATTGAAAGTACAGTATGTCGTTGTTCGCCGGTATAGGGTCTTCCTACGTTGCGGCGAAATGGTGAATAAGAAAAAAATTGTAAAACAAAACAAAAAAATAGGAAAAGTACTAATTAGAACAGCTTCAGAAAAACATTAATTATTCTTATCAAGAAGTCAATATTGACCCTCTGTATTCGTTTTTCTTTAATGTTGACATATTATATTTTTTAACTCTTAGTTGATAAAAAACTTTTGCTTTTGATAAAGTAAGCAATTTTATCGTTCGACAGGATCTGTTTGCCAGTTCATCGCGTTTTATTTTCATGCAATAGCTTGGTCGTTTACTAACAGTTCAATCTGTCGATCCAGCTGACAATCGAAAAAAGCAAGGAGAAAGTACCAAAATACAAGTAAATTTTCCTTCTTCCTTGTTTTATATTACTAATTTTTCTTGAAAATATTGTGTTGACGTCTCTGAGGTGATGAACCTGTAGTTCGATTGCCTTCGGTCACCCGGTCCGCCTATTGTGCCGGCTTTGTACAGACCGATGACTGATTGTGAATCTGGCACATGTCGCTTTTTCTGAAGGGAATTCTTGACTTTTTTTACATATGACTGGACAACAATTTAACGATTCGTGTGGGAAAGGCAAACGTTGGACGTTATTTATTGTGTGGCATGGCCTGCGGGCTATTTTTTTCACGTACACTATCGATTTTGTCTAAAAACCTCTTTTCTGTTGACAGGAGCCCGGTGACGTTGCTGCTATTGGCCGTCCTCACGGTAAAGGTAAGTGAACTTTCCCTCTCCTCCCTAATCTTATCGTTTTTTGCCATCTGTTCAGCCCAAGTTGGTTGTAAAAAGCGGCCGACAACACAAGAATCGAGGTTGTTGAGACCCCCGAGCATTGAGCACCGCGTTTACGCATACTGTCGCACAGAATCGCCGTGATTGCCCGTTTTTTTCCACTTTTCCCAGAGGTGCTGGCGATTCAGAACGTCCTCCGTGGGATGCAAAAACCGTCATGGACGATTAGAAATTTTCTATTTACCTGCCATAACAAGACGTTTTTACAGCATCTTCAATATAAAAGGGAACGATTATGGAATTATTGCCATCAACCGACGTCGAGTGAACTTGCCACAGTGCTAGTCGAAGAAAACAACGTTGATGCCATGAATTTTTATGCTTTCAATGAAATTCTATAACTGCAAGCTCCTTCTACAAGACAGTGGCAGATAGACACACAGCTCTCCTTCGTGACAGCAATTAAGCCTGTTTTCTTGCATTTTGAAACATCTTTAAATTATTCAAAATATTATCAATTAAAACAACTCTAAAATCCCTCTTCATCTTGCTGTCGGAAAGATTTTAAATTATTAATGTTAACATGCCATTATAAACGGGGGTAATTTGAAAAACTCTAGATAGAGTCAAAAATAGCAGTTTTGAATCAATGATGATCACTTATTTATATTTGGCTGGCATAACGAGGCGATTTTACAAGTCATCTTTGAGACTAAAAAAATCATTTGCTTACATGTAATCTACAAATGCTCTGACAAGTTCGTGCTCCTTTTACAGTTCAACGATAATTACAGAAAAAAACCCCTAAAAGATCTACCGAAAGACAGTTATTAAAACAACTCTAAAAAGTCTCTTCATCTTGCTGTCGGAAAGCTTCTTAAATTATTAATTCCTACATGGCATAATAAACAATGTTAATTTGAAAAATTCTAGGTAGTGTTGGCAGTTTTGAATCAATGATGATGAGAAAATTTCTATTTAGCTGTCGTAACGAAGCGATTTTACAACTCATCTTTGAGTATAACAAATCATTTGCTTATTTATTGTCTAAAAATGCTCTGAAAAGTCCGTGCTTCTTTTACAGGTCAACGATAATTACAGAAAAAAACCCCTAAAAGATCTACCGAAAGACAGTTATTAAAACAACTCTAAACTCCCTCTTCATCTTGCTGTCGGAAAGATTTTAAATTATTAATGTTAACATGCCATTATAAACGGGGGTAATTTGAAAAACTCTAGATAGAGTCAAAAATAGCAGTTTTGAATCAATGATGATCACTTATTTATATTTGGCTGGCATAACGAGGCGATTTTACAAGTCATCTTTGAGACTAAAAAAATCATTTGCTTACATGTAATCTACAAATGCTCTGACAAGTTCGTGCTCTTTTTACAGTTCAACGATAATTACAGAAAAAAACCTAAAAGATCTACCGAAAGACAGTTATTAAAACAACCCTAAAAAGTCTCTCTTCCTTTTGCTGTCGGAAAGATTTTTAAATTATTAATTCCTACATGGCATAATAAACTGTACTAATTTGAAAAACTCTAGGTAGAGTCAGTAATGGTAGTTTTGATTCAATGAAGGTTAGAAATTAATTAAGGTTTTTAGTTGAGATAAAAAGTCAGTGTCACGAGCGGGATTTGAACCCACGATCTTCGGCTAGATACGCCGCTACTCTTCCACTTGAGCTATCGTGACTTCCATCCACTCGGACACAACCTAAAATCCTTAATTAATTAAAAGATATAAATTGGTCAAGCGGACACGAAAACTGGTGAATTTAATAAGATAAAATGAAGTATATCTTCACTAAAATTTTACATGGCCATTTCATTTGTCGCCGAGAATCAAATAAATAACACGACATTTGAAAAATGCCAAAAAGGAGGGAAAATTTATAGGCGGGTTGAAATGGGAAGTTGGTGTCCGAGTGGATCGAGATCACGATAGCTCAGGTGGTAGAGCAGCGGTGTATCAAGCCGAAGATCGTGGGTTCGAATCCCGCTCGTGACACTGACTTTTTTAACTCAACTAAAAACCTTAATTATTTGGTCAAGCGGTCCACGAAACCTAGTGAATTTATTAAGATGGTTAGAAAATTTATATTTGCTCTCATAACGACGATTTTAAACTTCAACTTTGATGCTAACAAATCATTTGCTTACATATAATCTACAAATGCTCTGACAAGTTCGTGGTTTTACAGGTCAACGATGGTTGGAGAAAAAACCTAAAAGATCTATTGAAAGACAGTAATTAAAACAACCATAAAAAGTCTCTTCCTTTTGCTGTCGGAAAGATTTTTTAATTATTACTATCTACATGGCGTTATAAACACTGCGATTGTGAAAAACTCTACATAGAGACAGAAATGGCATTTTTGAATCAATGATAATGAGAAAATTTATATTTAACAAATCATTTGATTACTTGTAGTCTAAAGATGCTCTGACAAGTTCGTGCTCCTTTTACAGGTCAACGATGGTTAGAGAAAAAAAAACCCTAAGATAAAAGATCTATTGAAAGACAGTAATTAAAACAACCATAAAAAGTCTCTTCCTTTTGCTGTCGGAAAGATTTTTTAATTATTACTGTCTACATGGCGTTATAAACACTGCGATTGTGAAAAACTCTACGTAGAGTCAGAAATGGTAGTTTTGAATCAATGTTAATGAGAAAATTTATATTTAACAAATCATTTGATTACTTGTAGTCTAAAGATGCTTTGACAATTTCGTGCTTATTTTACTGTCAACGATGGTTAGAGAAAAAAACCCTAAAAGATCTACTGAAAGACACTAATTAAAACATCCCGAAAAAGTCTCTTCCTTTTTCTGTCGGAAAGATTTTTAGAAAAAACTAGATAGCGTCAGTGTTGGCAGTTTTCAATCAATGATTGTTAGAAAATTGCAATTTGCTTTCATAACGAGGCGATTTTAAAAGTCAACTTTGATGCTAACAAATCATTTGCTGACGTATAGTCTAAAAGTGCTCTGATAAGTCCGTGCTCCTTTTGTTGATCAACAATGGATAGAGAAAAACCCTAAAAGATCTAATGAAAGACAGTAATGAAAACAACTCTATATAGTCTCTTCCTTTTGTTGTCGGAAAGATTTTTAAATTATTGATGTCTATATGGCGTTATATACATTGCGATTTTGAATCTACTCTAATCACGACGGACTACCAATGAGAGCAATTAAGACATCTATAAAATTGTTCTTCACCTTCTGATCGGAAGGATTTTTTAAAACACTTTATGGCATTTTCAGCAGGGCACATTTGAGAAGCTATAGACAAAGTCACCAATGACAATTAAATAACCTTGGGTTTTTTGAATGGCTGGATATGGATGATAAGTAATGATGCATTGACCAGCTGTCAATTATGATTTTACGATCAATCATTTACTTTTTGTTATTTTGGTTGGTTAGATTTCTCCTGACATGTATCATGTCAATTTTATTCTCATAACATTTTTACGGTTGTAATTGTTTTACAGATGTAAAAACCAATAAAAAAAAGGGAAAAGTATTTACATAATAATTTATGGAACAACGAAGAATAACAAGTAGTTCGCACTAATTAGTTATGTGTGAAGCTTGTAGTCTATGGTGCATTGTTCATTTCTGTTGGTCAAACAGTGATTATGTAAATTGCTAGATGTATTAAGTGGAGTTTACAAAAGCTGCGATCAAGCGTTTATGCTTCTTTAATTTAATTTAAGAATTAAAGTCCTCGAATTCTTGGATAAAACATGGTGTCAAAATCCATGCGAGTGCTTTTACACAATCAACCTAAATTCTGAAAAATTAAATCTTTTGGGCACGAAAGGGGAGATAAAAATACAATATTTAATGTAAGAATAAGAAGAAAGTATCGAATATCAAGTAATGGGGCAAAAAGACAAATACTTTTATTGTTACTTGCTTACTTTTAATTAATGATACATGGCAAACATAAAATCATTTTTTTTTTTTTTTTTTTTTGAGATGGCTTTATACGATTATTCCGCAGGAAATATCAGGGAAAACTTGTTAGATGGGAAGACACCATTTTTATTATTACTTAGGAGAAAAGACAATGTAAAATATCGTTTTCTTAATCAATAAGGATATAGTCATCAGTAATGTCAGGAACGCTTAAAAATCACCGGTAAAACCGTAGGCTTTGGTGCCCGCAACGGTCAGAGCGTAAGGTAAAGGCCCCGGGTTCGAATCACCGCTGCCCTGAATTCAAACCCAACATACTTACAAATTAGCATTTATTCAAAACCACCGAGACCTTTTATTTGAAATACCCAAGTTAAAAAATAATAAAAATAAAAAGCAATCGCATGAATTTTGTCAATTTTGATCCTGATTCCGTGAAGGGACATAGCAGACAGATCGATTGTTGAAAGTTTTGAGATGGATTACATGTGAGGAGATCATTAATGTGTTTTATGGTCTGTTAATTGTTCTTGATTTTTCGTGAATAGTCGGATGAGAAAATAAAAATTAATAAAGATTTGTAATGAACGTTTGCTGTTCGAAAAGATAGTGGGTCAGGAGTCGGAGCAGCTGGTGATGAACTCTGCCGGGATGATGACGTGATTTCGCGGTGCGGAAGAAATGCAAGACTCCATGACAAATCCTTCAAGTACAACGCCCCTGGAGCAGTACGTCACACTCCTCCGAATATGCAACATTGTCGCAGAGGCGATTCACTTCGGTTTCAAGAACAAAAGGATATCTGACCTCTGCTTCCCACCGACATCACGGATCAGTTGACCTCTTCCAGAACACGTATCTCTATTTCCTCAGGCCTGGAAATTTTTTCCTTTTTTGGACACCCAATGGGTTAGGGTTTTTACGCTCAACCAGTTCCTAACTGAGTTCGATTCTCATCACTGTTCTTTCTTTCGGGATGACCGCCGGAAACCTCAGAGCGTAATGGCCAACTGTTCCGGTCCAATGTGTCCCGTTTAATTTAATCCCGGGACTGCTGTCCATAATTCCAAACGGCACCTGTCGATTAGCAGAGATCGCTGATGAAGTTAATCTATCACCTCAGTAACGTAATCATTTTCACTGAGTCGATGAAAGTGAAACCATTTTTTAGACGTTTCGTCATCACTAATATACAAAAATATATTTACTGAGAAATCTGCAATGTTTATGGGGGGAGTGGCTTTGGTCCTCACCGATCATTCTGGTCTGATTACCTCTGGGTTGGTGGGAAGAGCAGGGTGAAAAAAAGATTACGTTGAAATGTAAGAAGTGATTTACCCCTTTGATCGCCTATCCGGTTGACGCGTTTCAGCTTCCCATTCAGTGGTTAGGGATGGTTAGGATTGGTTTCATTGGTCGGTTTGAAAGCGGCTGGCAGACCAAAACGAGAGTAGGCAGGATGATAGTATACTACAATTAATATTGTACTACAAAATTTTCGCCCAGTAAAATTATCACGAAATAAAAATTAAATCTTTATTAATCCAAACATATTTAGCAGTTCTACTTGACCGTTGAAAATCTAGCGTCAAGAGCGGGATTCGAACCCACGACCTTCGGCTCAAATCGATGTTCCTCTACCCCACTATTTTGTCATAGTCAAGTGGTTAAAGCAGCGGCGTATTGAGCCGAAGGTCGTGGGTTCGAATCCTGCCCGTGACACTAGCTTTTTCATCTATATAAAAGAAAAAGTATAATTATTTAAAATTGAATATTTGTTTAAAATATTTGTATTACCGTGCAAAAAACTAAATAAATATGTAATAATTTAGTTATTTTATTTATTATTGTTAGTATTCGGGTAAATAATAATAGACTTGTGTCCCCGGTAAAAACGGGCATGGAAATAACCACGTTTTTCAATTAGAAATGTATGGCAAATTTAATATTTTAATACAATTAATTAAGGTTTTTAGTTGAAATGAAAAAAAGTTAATGGCACGAGCGGGGTTCGAACCCACGATCTTCGGCTAGATACGCCGCTGCTCTAGCACTTGAGCTATCGTGACAAAGTAGTGGGGCAGAGGAACAGCGATTTGAGCCGAAGGTCGTGGGTTCGAATCCTGCTCTTGACGCTAGATTTTCAACGGTCAAGTAGAACTGCTAAATATGTGCTAACTATATGTCGTGTAGTCGGTTTGGACAGACATTTGAAAAATGTCAAAAAGGAGGGAAAACTCATAAGGTGGGGTTGAGATAGGAAGTTTATGTCGGAGTGGATCGAGGTCACGATAGCTCAGGTGGTAGAGCAGCGGCGTATCTAGCCGAAGATCGTGGGTTCGAATCCCGCTCGTGCCATTAACTTTTTTTCATCTCAACTAAAAACCTTAATTAATTGTAATGATTCAATTGGTCGAGCGGACCACGAAATTAGTGAATTTAATATTTTAAGCTAATCTTGTGTAGGCGTGATGATGGTGAACCGAAAGTACAAACAAAACGATTTTCACAAAATTACTCGTGTTTCGGCATTTGGCCATCATCAGTGAGGAACTGTTGAGTTGAACGTTTTTGAACAGAGTTGCCGAAACGCGTTTAAGGAATTCAACAAACTCGCGAGTAAGGACGGACCCAAAAAGTTACCCAATGCCGGTTTAGCTTGAGTTCACAGACTAGCAGACCAACACCATCATCAGCTCACATATTGATTTATTTAAACTTTTGAAATGTAAAAAAAATAGTTTTGTCTGTTTACCGTTTGCATCCGTGAATTCTCACTCCTAACATCTATTATAAAATAATAATACAATTTTCATTTCCCTCTTATCTAAAGATATCTTCCTTGTGTACTTGCTTTGTTTTTTGAGCAGTTCCTATTTGTTTATTATTAGAATATCAAAATTGAAAGTTTTGTTCAAGATCGCGGGCAAAAAGTGAAAATAGTGGCGTTCTTCCCACGGCTTTCGGAATTCAAAAGATAAAAATCGAAAAAGCGAGCACGTCGAAGAATTTTCAAAACGACTCGCCATGAGCTTTTTCACCCGGCCGATGTTTTTCATCGCGATTTTCCAGTGATTTTTCCCGACAGGCCGTTTGTTGGTCAAGACGAGGGTTATTGGGAGAGGGAGGGGAAAAAAACTATTTCCACCCAGATGAGTGAAACGTCTCGACGATTTTCAACGGGCAATTTTTCCTCATTGTGTACCTTTTCATCCGCCAGCCTGAATAATAATTATTTACAACCGAGAGTACGGTTTTATTATCCCTGAGCACTGAAGACTGCGAAAAGGCGAAACTCTTCTGGCAACAGAAACTGATCGAAAAAGACCGAAACTATCACTCCGCAGACCACCCAGACTACCAAAGAGAACGCTCACAATTTTTTATTATGACGAATTTATTACCTAAGAAATTACTCGGTGGAACGAGATTATTACTGTCGCCTTGTCACATTAATAAAAAGTTACGACAAAAGGTGTATTTTGCAATGTGCTTGTTCAAACAATGGTTTCATTATTTACACCGTTATTATGAATATAATATTTCATTTATTTTTAAAACATCAAAATTATAAACTCAGCCTAAGCGATAATTAAGTTTTAAGTTCTTCTTGAGGGTAGGGTGATGAACCTGATAATTTTGATCTATAAAACTAAAACACTGACAAACTCTCGCCTATTTTTTCCTATAATTTCAAAGAAAAATTTTATTCGAAGATTGAAAGCTATTTTTAAGATTTTTAGCTTGGCTGTTTATGATCCAATTTTGTCCATATATTCTCTCTGTTTTCATCTACCTGTACCTTCTGTTGTTCCTATTTGAAATATTTTAACACGGTATGATTTAACTCATCTCAAAAAAAAAAAAATGTTTCCTCTGCCTTTCTGCTTACCCATTTTTCATTTTATCATAATTGATTTTAGATTATGTGTTAAATTCAATTGTTTGTTTTTCCCAGCTCGCTGGAGGAGCCGAGGAAGCGACGGAAGTCCTTTCGCCCACAGACATTTACAACGAAGTGACGACGGAGCACGTGAGCGTAGAGCCAGAAGGAAACGACACGAGGGAGGCTCTCGCCCACGACGGATCTCACCACAGTTCGGTAAGCTCTTTTCATTAGACTTATTTCATTTTCAGCCGTGACCACGATTTTGGGTTTTTTTTTTAAATAAAAGTTAGAAAACTTAAAACTGAACACTCATGAAGATATCACACTTAAAGATGTTATGCGAAGGCTCTCATTTCTTGATTAATGTTTTGAATCATGGTGAGCAAATGTTTTGATCCTTCTCAAAAAAATACACGTTCTATGCACACGTTATTCGCTAGCATGAACGAACTTCCTCCAAACCGTCCTCTGCCTCTCTCCCCTCACACTCTTACTCACGCTCTCTCACCCCCTCTCTCTCTCTTTCTCTCTCTCTCTCTCTCTCTCTGACCTTCGTTCTCTCTATTTCCTCTCTTTCTCTCTCTGTCTCTATCTCTCTCTCTTCCCTTCTTTCTCTCTTTTTGTCAACCTCTCTTTACCTTCCTTTTCATCTCCCTCTTTCTCTCTTTCATTCTCTCTCTTTCCTTCTTAATCTGTCTCTTTCTCTCACCCTCTTTCTTATCCTTTCTTTCTACATCCTCTCTTTCTTATCCTTTCTTTTATCTTTCCTCTCTCTTTCTCTCTTTCTCTCTCAGTTCTCATAAACTCATAAAATCTAATAAAAAGAATAACAATAAATAATNCTCTCTCTCTCTCTCTCTCTCTCTCTCTCTCTCTCTCTCTCTCTCTCTCTCCCACTCTTCTTTTCTCAGTTTTTCTGTCTCCATCCTATCGGTTTCACAAGTCAATGATCTTGGAAAATACAAAATCAAATTCTCTCAAAATATTTCCACGTACAATTTTGTCGTTACGTCAAAAACACAATTTCCACAGTACGTGGTCACATGGCGGGAATTAGCATTTTCCCACATCCCACCGAGACCGACGAATCATCTTTGTGAGCAGTCTCCGTCGCGGGGGCGATCGGAAGCCGCGGTTTCCAAGAAAAGAGAAGAGAAGGAGGAAGGTCTTCGGAGAATGATTCCCATTGGGACGTGGCCGCCGATCCATGTCCATTGTCTGCGTCGATGTGGCGCTCGGTTAAGGGGCAAATCTGAATGCAAAATTGGGCGGCACCCTGTGACTAAACGGCTGTCGTTACGGGTCGTCTCCGGCCCATTTCCTCATTCCTTCAACACCTCCCAACGTCGTCGTTTATCCATTCGACCCACACGCCTACTATCAAATAGACAATTATACCAACAATTATGAATCGCGAGATACTTTTTTCGGAAACATCATCATTTTGCATTCCCAGTTTGATTAAACTAAATTTAAAGTTCACATAAAGTTTAAAATATTGAATGTGTGTGTGTATTATATAAATCATTTAACGACTTATAATTTATACTATTAATTATTACTATTAAAGTATTTAATTAATGATAAAAAAATCTGAAAAATAACCAATTTAGTAGTCCCTTGATTCTCAGTCTTGAACTGTATTGGTACTAGCTTAAGTTCAGAGGAAAGAGCACCCGTTACTTCTACCATATTTTTATGCCTTCTCTTTATAAGACCAAGGGTTCCAATATCAGAAATCAAAACTAGTGCTAGTGGCACAAGCCTTCAGAATTATGGTGTATTTTTCAATAAAACTCTTGGTTATGTCCAGCTTGCACATCTCATGCAAAAGCCCAATCCTTGTGGAACGAGCATCAAGCAACATAAATACAGCACAGCATAAGTTATTTATTTTGAGCTACTTTTAGTTTCTTGTAGTTACTTTCGCAAGTTGTCTGCTCAGGAAGGAAGCAGACCTGATCTTACCACCATTTTGTATATAACCAACTTATTCAGATTCAAACCCACACAGAGTAGTGGAAACATTTTTTTTTTTTTTTTTTTTGCTTTTCGCTATTTGCAACTAGTATATTAACGTGTGTCGTAAAATTTAGTTTGCTGTCAAGCCGTAGGCCCAAGTATTTAACCGAGGGGGACCAAGTTGTCACATTGACATTTATCACACCATTGCTGAGTTTACGTAGTGAATAATATGTGGTGATTAGTGACCGTTAGTCGATGATTATTCGGAAATCGTGAGATGCGGTCTGGTGTGATATAGGTTTCAGAAAAACATTTTCTTTATCGTGCCAACGTTTCGATCTTTATTGAGATCATCTTCAGGGCTCAAAGTGTTTGTTTTCTGCGTAATTGTGCCATTCTTGCGTGTCGTGTTGAGAGTGCCACTCTGGCACGCAGAAAGCAAACACTTTGAGCCCTGAAGATGATCTCAATAAAGATTGAAACGTTGGCCCGATAAAGAAAATGTTTTTCTGAAACCTACATCACACCAGACCGCATCTCACGATTTCCGAATAATCATCGACTAACGGTCACTAATCATCGCACATCATCTTTTTCATTATACACTTTTACATTAACTTGTAAAACGTTAATAATCATTTTATAAGTATTTTATTTCATTTTTAAATCGTAAAATTATATTCCAATTCTAGAAGGTTTTAAGAATCTTACGAAAAATCGATATCTAATTTTGTTACTCAACAATAATATTTTCTGTATAAAAATATAACTTATAAGTTTAACTTGCTTTCACTTTATTCATTTATTTCGTTGTTGATTTTCCAATAATTTGTTATTTGTATTTATTTCTATTCTTTTGCGACTATAAACAAATATTATTATTGAAATTAAACGTTAAGTGTAACAAAGGTCCTGGAGACCTAACTTTTGCGCATATTTTAATAAACAAATCGTTAATCAATCAATATGTTTTTCTATTTCTCTCTCTCCCTTCTCCCTCACTCTTTCTCACTCACTTTCACTTTCCCTTCTCTCTCTCTCTCTCTCTCTCTCTCTCTCTCTCTCTCTCTCTCTCTCTCTCTCTCTCTCTCTCTCTCTCTCTCTCTCTCTATCACTCCTACGCACACTCCTCCCACTCTCTTTCTTTCTTCTCTCTCTTACTTAGAAAGAGATTGTAAGATTTGTGTCTGTTTGTAAGACAGGTAGTTCGCTCCTAAATTTGCGAGATTTTTTAAATAAAACGATATGCATTCTCTCTCACTCTCCTTTTCTTTCTCTCCTCTATCCACCCTCTCCCTCCCTCTTTCTCTCTCACTCTCTCGCTCTCTCTTTTTTCTCTTTCTCTCTCTCTTGTAACATTAAGCTAATCGTGATAGCAATTAGCTTAAAATTTATAATTTGAGGGAGATGTAAAAGATGTTCGTCGAACCTCTTTTAAATTTATATTTATATTTTACCGCGCATCTATAGCGCATGCCCGTGCTAGGCTGGAATAGCAGACAATAGGAGAAGGTTAAGATGGTTAGAAGGTTTTAAGAAGTGGTGTTTTTGATAGACTTGATAATAAAATATAAAGTGAAATAAAATCTTGTAAATGTCGTTTCTTTGATTACAGAGAAACTCAGTCTAGTTTTTGTTTCACCCCAGAGCCAAACTAAAAACGCATTAATACTACTTCTTGCGTGTCGTGCCGAGGAACCCTCAACAAGAAAAGCACGATTACGCAGAAAACAAACACTTTGAGCCCTGAAGATGATCTCAATAAAGATCAAAACGTTGGCACGATAAAGAAAATGTTTTCATAAAACCTACATCACACCAGACCGCATCTAAATATTTGTTATTTTTCATTTCTTAAAGTAGTTTTCCCATTTTCGTAAATCTTAATTGTCTCTTAATGACAGTGCAGGTGCGACAAGGACAAGTCGGACTTGCTGGAACTTTGGTACATCACATATGTAAACTAGAAACAATGTTGGTCCCAGCACTGAACCTTGGGGAACCAGCTACTATCTTAATTTCTTCAGAAATGCTCCTCCCATAGTGGACTGTAAAACATTTCGATTTAAATCGTTACTAATTAAACATAGAAGCTACAATCTTTAACTGTTTGATAATGGAGTAATCTCCGCTCAACAATGCCTTTTAATTCCACTAATGATGATGATTTACAAGGTATATAATTTTTTCATAATTGCTTCACCGTTTCTTTCAATTGAGTTATTTATTATCACAGGTCATAATGCTAAATCAAACCAGGGACCGTTTCAGAAATTGCTGGAGCGGCAGTTATCGAACGGTGACTTTTTTCATCTTTGTTTAAAGTCGACCATCCGTAATGTGTCTTGAAATATGTCCATCATATTCTTAGATTTTATTAACAAAATTAAACATATTATGCATCAATTTAATTTGGCACTTGTAATTTGAGACTTAAAACTGAAAGGACGATTTTTTTTACTTGTCGAAATACTTAGGACACGATTGATGATTATTGAAGAAATGATGATGAATAACTGCAAAATGTTTGCTGTACGCTCATCGCCTGGTGCAATTTAAATTTATATATTGGCTTATCATCCTACTAATAGATTTAAATTGTTTTTCCGATAGAAAACGAACTAAATCTTGTCAGGTGCTCTTTTCTACACCATCACTCATTATAAAAAAGTTCTTAAGATTAATGATTAATTAGAGTTAAACCAAAAAATAATTAGTTATCGTGAGCAAGAAGGTAAGCGGAAAAAAACTGTTTAGCGAATGGTCAATCGACATCTTTCAATTTTTAGGCCAGGTTAACCCTTTTTCAACGGTGACGGCGTAAATCTTTTTTGCCTAGTCAAGCAAGCAAAATCAAAATCGATAAAACTGGGTCAGTGAGCCTCGTTTCTGGTCCACGCCGGGAGGGAAATGGAACCGGGCAAATTTAATATTATTACACGGGTCGAAGATTTCCCGTTAAAAAATTCAGGAAGTCATACTGGCAGCTTCCGCCGAGGTGAGACTAGCCGTAAACTGCTGTTTCCACGCACTATTGTTTTCCCGTGTTTTTCCTCCCGTGAACGGCAAGCAAAAGAGATCCATTCCATTTTTTTTTTTTTTTTTCGATTTCGTGCTGAACACGTGTTCTCGCCATGCCTCGCTGAATGTGAATTGTGAATATTTCACAATCAGTTCGACAAGCATTTTAATTTTCGATTTATAAATATTGTTAAAACAACAATGTTAGAAAATTGGTAAAAAATTAG